GGGGGGGGCGTTTGGGGCGGTCTGGTGGAGGTCGTCCGCTATGCGGTGGTCGAGGTGTTCGGAGTTGTTGGAGTCATCCGAAGAGGGCGGGTCACGTAGGTGGTCGATATGATATGCAGAAAGGAGGGGGTGCACATAGTGTGCCGGTTGTGGAGTCAAGGGGAGAAGTGGGGGGTCCAGGTGGGTGGCAGCGATCATGGGGATGGAGTACGTGGACCAGAGCAGGAAGCTCAGTATCCACCATAATACAGACCAGGGGCGGTGCCGGGGTTAGTTTGACCCCATGGTGTCGTGTGGGTCTGTCCCCATGGAGTCGTCGGGTCCGGTTGGCTGGGGTTCAATGGAACGGATTCATCGGGTGCTGGGGGGAGGGCGTCGGCGTGGGCTGGGTGGGGTACGCGGCTGGTAGTCCGGTCGCAGGGGTGCCGAGGGCGGCGAGGCCAGCCAGTTGGGAGGAGACACTTTGCATGGCTTGCATTAGGGTGCGTAGACTGGATTCGATGATGGGGAGGCGTTCGGCCATTGCCGCTTAGTGGGTGCCCTGTTGTGTGATGGTGGTTTGCAGGCGATTTTGCGCCTCCGTCAATTTGCGTTGGTCCTGGGATTGTTGGTGTTCATCAGTCTCACGGAGGCGGCGTTCTTCGAGTAGTCGCGCATCGAGGGTGGTGAAGGCTGCACTGGTGGCAGAGACTAAGGCTGTGAGGGCCTCCTTATCCGCGCGGAGGGTATCGACTTCCTGCTGGAGTGAGGCTGTGGCCTGGATGTTACGGTGGTCCACATATGTGGAGAGTTCCCGACGGAGGTGTGGGACGAGGTCCGTGGTCGGGCCTGATGCGTGCAACGGTTGTTGTTGATAGGGGTATTGCCAGGATTGGGGTGTGTGGCTGACCGTGGTGGAATGTTGAGAGACTGAGCGGCCTGCTCGAGTGTGCACACTCTTACTGCGAGAAATTGCCCCCGGACTCTTGGTGCCACGGGGAGTGGATTTATGTCGAGATGCGCTGCGTGTACGGTCGCGGGGGTCAAGGTAGGTAAAACGGTCACAAGGTTTGCCCTGGTGGTCCTGGCGGCCGCAGTCGGAACATTGCAATGCCACCGCTGTGGTACGTGGGCGGCCCATGAGTACGTGGAGCTGGACAGCTATATTACGTACGTATAGGCGGGTGGTCCCATGTGGGCCTGAGGCGTTCCATAGGAAGGCTGCCGGTGAGGGGGAGTCAAACGTGAGGGTTGCGTAGTCGTCGATGATGTCCACGTCAGGTGAGGGAAGTTGGGAGCCATGTAGTGCCTCCAGGATGTCCGCAGGAGTGGTAAGTGTAGGTAGAGGACCGATTCGAACTTTGGTGGCCACAAGTTTGGTTGCACTGAGGGACAAGGGGTGGAAGAAAGTGGATGAGGGGTTGTCCCAGCTGAGGTCACGCAGTGGGTGTAGCTTCATGGAGGGGGGAACCTGGTCCAGGCGGTTTATTCCCGCAGCATGCAGGCGGTAGTTGGCATATACTGTTTCGGCCATGGTTTGGCTGGGGAAGACTAGTCGGAAGCGGTAGTTGCCCTCTGTGGGCCAGTTTACACACCCAATGGCCGCCCAATGGTCCCGTGGCCCGTGGGCCCCGGACATACGTGAGTAGCTCTGGACAATGGCATCGGTGGCCCCAAGGGCGCGGAGGGCACACAGTATGTCAGCAGGAGGTAGTTTAGACCGGTTGCGGTATTCCAGCTGGTGGTAGGAGAGCCCGTTGCTGAGGACTCCAGCATACTGGTAAAGCATTACGACAGAGATGTCCCAGAGGAATAGGTAACCACGTCGTGGGGCTGCCCAGGCTAGGGCGGTGCGTTGTATGGGGGTCCCAAGGAGCTGCTGCCCGTGTTCACTGAGCCCGCCGTGGAAGGTGAGCCCGAACCGTTCCTCGCAGATTGTCTCGATTTCTTTCCTGAAGTTGACGATGCTGAGTGGGTTGTCAGGCTGCTGGAGCGACGGATTGATAGAGAACTGGATCCTAACCATGGTCTCGGAGAAGTGTTGCTCGATATCCGTAATCTCCGCGGGAGTAAACCCTTGGAAGAGGTGTGCCTCGCGTTCCCAGTACATGGTCATTGTGCGGTATAGGATCGGTTGTCCTTCATCGCAGAGGTTGAGTAGGCCTGGAAATAGGAGGGCAGTGTTGGCATCATATTCGTCAAGGTCTTCCTCGTGTGAGGGTGGGTCGGTGGAGTCCTGCGAGTGCTGTGTAGGGTCGGGTGGACCTGGCTGGTAGGACGGGGTAGGCGGATAG